TAGAACACAACATGTCAGAGCTGGAAGGGAGCTTAGAACATAGAACACAACATGTCAGAGCTGGCAGGGAGCTTAGAACATAGATCACAACATGTCAGAGCTGGAAGGCATCTTAGAACATATGATATGGAGCATCAGAGCTAGAAGGGGCCTTAGAATAGGACAAAAATATCAGAGCTGGAAGGGAGCTTAGAACATAGAACATAACATGTCAGAGCTAGAAGGCAGCTTAGAATGTATGATATGGAGCATCAGAGCTAGAAGGGGCCTCAGAACAGGACAAAAATGTCAGAGGTGGCAGAGACTTGAGTACATTTTATGTAAGCCCTTCATTTTACAGATGAGGACACTGAATTGAGAACACCGAGGACTATTGAGGGGAAGTGACTTGTGGCTAGTTAGTGGCACTGCAGAGCTGAGAGACGGAAGAACCTAGGTCTTCTTGTTGACTGACTGACTAACCCATCATCCAGGGTTCTTCCTAATGTACTGTATTGCCTCTTGTTAAATGTATGTCAACATGATATAAAAATGTGTATTTGTATCCATAAATCAATGAGTCAGCAAGCATTTATTAAGCTTCTACTATGTGCCAGTCACTGTGCTGGGTGCTAGAGATACAATCTATGGCCTCAAAGGGCTTATATTCTAACAGGGGAACCAATGGGTACGTGTAGAATACGCATCTGCATGACTTTGTATGTATGTGTACGTATGTGTTTTCTGTGTATCTTTTTTTTTTTGTTAGTGTATATGTCTCTGGTGGGAGGCAATGTGTCATAGTGGATAGAAGGACCTCAGTCAATCAGTCAGTCAACAAGCATTTACTATGGAGATATAAATAGGAAAGGACCAAGGATAAGTTCCTACAACTTGCCAGGCACCCGGCTAAGCATTCTACAAATATTATCTCAGTTGATCCTCACAACAATCCTAGGAGAGAGGTGCTATTATTAGCAATGATGGCAAAGTAGATAGAGCACTGGGCTTGGAGTCGGGAAGACTGAGTTCAAATCCAGCCTCAGAAACTTCCTAGCTGTGTGACCTTGAGCAAGTCATTTAACCTCTCGTTGCCCCTGGAAAAAAAAATTACAAACCACTCCAGTATCTTTGACAAGAAAACCTCATTGACTGAAGTCTTCAGGGTCATGAAGAGTTGGATATGACTGAAATGACTGAACAACAACAACAATATTATTATCCTCAGTTTACAGTTGGGGAAACTGAAAAAGACAAGTTCAATGACTTGCTCAGGGTCACACAACCAGTAATCAGCTGAGGTTAGATTTAAACTCAAGTCTTCTGACTCCAAGCCCTATATTACATCAACTATGTAACCTAGCTGCCTCTAACTTATATAGAGAACATATAAAGAAAGGCAAAACCAGTCCCTATCCTCAAAGAGTTAACGTTCTGATAAGGGAGAAAACACGTCAACAAATAATTATATATGAAAAAAATAAAGAGTAGATAGATGGTAATTTCACAGGGGAAAACACTTGCAGTTAGGGGGACTGACAAAGGCCTTTAGAAAGTGAGATTTGAGCAAAGTCTTTCAAGAAGCCAAGGAAATTGAGAGGCAGAAGGAAGAAGGGAGGACATTCCAGGCATGGGGGACAGCCAGTGCAAAGACATGGAGATAGGAAATGCAGACTATTGTGTAAGAGGAACAAGTAGGCCAGTGTGAATGGATTGTGGAGTGGAGAGGAGACTGGAAAGAAGGAGAGATTTAGATGGCAAACAGAGGAGTTTATATTTGTTCCTGAAGGTAATAGAGAGCCATTGAAGTGCATTAAGTAGGCAAAGTGACATGGCAAGACTTGTGCTTTCGGAAACTGGCTGTGTAGAGGATGGATTGAGTGGGAGAGATTTGAGGTAGGGAATCCAATTAAGAGGCTATAGCATTAATTGGGGCAGCTAGCTGACCTGGTGGATAGAGCTCAAAGTTTGAAATCAGGAAAACCTGAGTTCAAATTCAGCCTCAGACACTTCCTATCTTTTTTTTTTTTTTTTTGGCAAGGCAATGGGGTGAAGTGACTTGCCCAGGGTCACACAGCTAGCAGACACTTCCTAGCTATATGACCCTAAGCAAGTCACTTAACCCTGTTTACCTCAGTTTCCTCATCTGTCAAATGAGCTGGAGAAGGAAATGGCAAACCACTCTAGTGCCTTTGCCAAGAAAACCCCAAATAGGGTCATAGAGAGTCAGACATGACTGAAAAATGACCAAACAATAACAAAAGCAATAATCTAGGTGATGATGGACTAAACTAGGGTGGTGGCTATGTGAGTGGAGATGTAGATGAGAGATGGTGTGAAGATCAAAACAAGATGTGAGAACAGTAATAGGTATGGGCCAAGGGAGTGAGCAGTGACACTGAGGTTGTGAACTTGACAGTTTGGAAGGATGGTGGTGCCCTCCACAGTGATAGGAAAGTTGGGAAGACGGGAGAGTTTAGAGGGAAAGAGAATGAGTTCTGTTTGGGACATATTGAGTTTGAGTCATCTACAAGACATCCAGCTCAAGATGTCCTTAAAGCCATTGGAGGTATATGACTGGAGCTTAGGAAAGAGATTAAGGAGATTTTCTCTCTCTCTCTCTCCATACTCATATACATAAACATAACAGCTGTAGCTGGGCAGCTAGGTAGCTCAGTGGATAGAGTATTGGGTCTGGGTGTCAGGAAGACTCATCTTCCTAAGTTCAAATCTGGCCTCAGACAGCTGTGTGACCCTGGGCAAGTCACTTAACCCTGTTTGCCTCAGTTTCCTCATCTGTCAAATGAGTTGGAGAAGGAAATGGCAAGCCACTCCAGTATCTCTGCCAAGAAAACCCCAAATGGGGTCACAAAGAGTTGGATGTGACTGAAAAAAAAAAAACTGAACAACAACAAAAATAGATGGAGATATATATGATATATAAAGATACGCACATCAGGAGATATATACATTGCATATATGAACAATATGCATAGTGATGATACTTGAACCTGTGTGAGCTGATGAGATTACCAAATCAGAAAGGAGAAGACCCCAAGACAGAGCCTTGGGAGACACCCATAGTTAGTGGGAGTGATATGGATAAGGATCCAGCAAAGACTGAGGAGGGGTCAGAGAGGTAGGAGGAGATCTAAGAGAGAGCAGTGTCATGAAAACCTAGGAAGAAGACAATGTGCAGGAAGAGATGGGGAGCAGTGAGGGACATGGCCCTGATGCCATACTAACACTACATATGACCCAGCACAGAGCTCTAAGTCAGGGTATCAAACTCAGATAGAAACAGATCCCTGCCACGACACATTGACAGAGAAAACCACAAATTAACATTATCTATGTTGTGCTGTATTTTTATTTTTTCACTAAACATTCCCCATTGCATTTAAATACTGTTAGGGTCCCCTTGGACAGGGAGTTTGACACCTCTGCTCTAGGTAACTCTTTAAGACTAGAAATTTCACAGAAGGCGCTCACTGCTCTTGGTACAGCGTTTCCTCATCTAGGACTTCTCTTTATCACAGGTCCAGTCTCTATCCCTGTGTGTCTGAATCTACCTCAGAAGGATGGTGTGTCTGTGTCTGTGTGTGTGTGTGCTTGTGTGAGTGTGTGTGTGTGTGTGTGTGTGTGTGTGTGTGCCCCTCAGGGCTCTCTATGTGTTATTATGTCTGTGTTTACCAGCATGGTGTAGTTAATGAAAATCATGCTGGATTTTGAATAAGGAGAACTGGGTTTGAGGTCTGGCCCAAGCATTTAGTAGTTGTGTGACCTTGA